AGCGGAACCGGTCTCCACATGGGATCTGAACCCTCGGTGGGAGCGCCGCCGTGCTCCCAAGCGGCGCACTCTCCAGTGCGCCACCGGGTCGGCCCAACAACATGGCACTTTGATCAAACTGTCATCAACAGCTTCTGGGGAAAGGTACAAGTTGAAAGGATATCAGATTAAAATACATTTTCTTTGAACAAGAACTAAGAAATGCACTTGATTTATTTATAACCTAAATCATGTGACAAGTATTACGATCTCTGTGAATTATTTTTTTCCTTTTTGTCTTTTTTACTGACCGGCAACGGGATCGCAACCCTCGGTGTTGCACCCGCACTACGCTCAGCCAGTGAGCGGGAACCGGTCTCCACATGGGATCCGAACCCTTGGCGGGAGCACCGCCGCGCTCCCAAGCGGTGCACTCTCCAGTGTGCCACCGGGCCGGCCCTCTGTGAATTTTAATATGTGGCAGATCCGTCTATTTACTTTCCCTCATGTTAAAAGATCTGTACTCTCTGTCATATCACAATATAAATGGAAATATATCTGGGTGAAAAAAGAGGTATATTCCAGTTCTCTGGAAGAAAAATTGCCACAGTTAAAAAAAATAGTTGCTTTAGGCCTCAGTTGGTAACAGCCCCACCCCCCCAAAAAGAAAAAAGCATGAAGGAAGAGAGTTTGATCCTAGGCTTCTACCTATGTGGTAGGTAAGAGTCTACTACAACTACAAATTTTTTATGAATGTATTGGATACAGTGATTTACCATGTTTTTTTTTTTTTCTGGGTCAAAACGGAATTTTGTCTAAAACTTGAAGCATTTCAAGTTTGAACTGATAGATTAACAAAATATTTTACTAATACACTTTGCCTTTTGTTTGAGTTTTATTGTACTTTTTGCTGGGATGACATTCAAATGATTATTAGGATTGTTAAAAGAATGCTTTACTTGCAAATGAGAGTACAATGAATTAGGGAAATAGAAAATATAATATAAAAACATTACTAACTTGTTCTTTCCTTTTTCTTCAGGCTCCATCTGAGACTGAAATATTATAAACTTAATTGTTGTTAAACTATACATTGTCTGGTTTAAGCTACTTTCACCTTAACTAATTATACAACTTTTGGAAAACACCAGTACATTTTATGATGATAATCATTTATCTTTAAGTCTAAAATTTTTTCTTAGCATATCTTTTTGTAAAATGAAAAAATTAATTATACTTATTTGTGGGGTCCAGTGTGTTGTTTCAATACATGCATATATTGTACAATGATCCACTTAGGGTAGATAGCATATTTATCACTTAAACATTTACCTTTTTTTGTGGTGATTATGTTCAAGATCCTCTTTTCTAGCTGTTTAGAAATATACAATATAATATTATTAGCTATAGTCAACGTAGAACACCAGAACTTATTCTTCCTATCTACCCGTAACTTTGTACCTGTTTAATCCACCTCTTGCTCTCCCCTCCCAAGCCTCTCTTCCCTCCCCAGCCTCTGGTAACCATGGTAACCATTAATTCTACCTTTTTTTAAAAAAAAAGATTCCACGAGGGAAATCATGCGGTATTTGTCTTTCTGTGCCTCACTTACTTCATTCATCATGATGGTCTCCAGTTCCATCCATGTTGCTTCAAATGACAGGACTTCATTTTTAAAACAGCTAAAGAGTATTCATTCCATTGCGTATATATGAGGGGTCTTCAAAAACTTCACGGAAGGATTCATGTTATCTTTCAGTTCTATTTTTCCACAAACTTTTTCAAGTATCCTCGTATACCACATTTAAAAAATTTGTTTATCCGCTGATGGACATTTAAGTTGCTTCTATCTCTTGGCTATTGTGAACAGTGCTGTAATGAACATGGGAGTGCAGACACCTCATTGACATACTGATTTCATTTCCTTTGGATATACGAGGGTACTTTGAAAAGTTCACAGAAAAATAGAATTGAAAGATAATACAAAGCTTTTCATAACTTTTTGAAGTATACCCAGTAGTGGGACTTATGGGTCATAAGGTACTTCTATTTTTAGATTTTTAAGAAACCTCCATATCGTTTTTCATAATAGTTGCGTTAATTTATATTCCCACCATCAATTTATGAGAGTTCCCTTTTCTCTACATTCTCGTCAGCATGTTATTTTCTGTAAGTCTAAAATTATGTATCTTGTTATGACATGAAAATCTGGGACATAATTTGGATATACACATATGAATTGAAGAACTTATAGGAGATAAGGCCTCTGGACACATTCTGAACAAATTAAATAGTTTATAAATTAGTGGATTGATCAGAAACAATGGGAAAAAAATCGGTGTTTCCTTATCTGGAATTTTTTAGGCAGTGGTGTACTGGAGCTAGTAGGAGTCTATATTGTGCACATCTTCCCATCTCTACTTCATGTCAGGGAGCTTATTAACATTAGCTTGGTACAGTATTTATACTACTAATTGGTAAATGCTACAAATCAAGGCTGTTTTTCCTGAGAGAGATGACGGTTAAACACATTTCCCATCACCCCACTGCATACAGACAATTCTGAACTTATAAAAATGCTTCATGAAACTCAGAGTATTGTCAACTAATAATTTTGCAGAACTCTTAACAATCCCAGTCCTAAAAAGTACATCAGTATTAACAGCCTTCTAATTTTTCTTGATGAGAAAAATTTTTCCTGATGAGACCAATTTTCTTCTCTTTAACCATTTTCCTTATTTAAGTCACAGGATTATTTTTACTTTTAAAAACTTACTGGAATAATAAATGAGGTCAAATGTACCATACCAGAAATAAACTCAAGGATTGTTTTTCATCACTATTTTTAAGGTTAATTGGTAGAGTTTAAAAGAAGGGAAAATAAATGCAGAAGAAGGCTCCAAACAAAATAGAAGAGGGAAAAAGAGACAAGAAAAACCCAACAAAACAAAGAGGCACTGAAACACAGTGGAAAGCACCATCAGCAGCTGCCTGAGCACTGAGCATTTTCCCTCCTGAACTATAAATATACTGATAAATAACTGAATTTTCACAATTTAAATTAGTTGCTGCTTTTATAACAAGGAAAAAACATCAAAACTCTAGGAGACAGAATTTAAAATTATACTTCAGTTTTTACTTAAATGGCTAAGCAATATGGAAGATCTTTTGGCCAGTTGTAAAAGTAAAACACAAACGGAAAAAAAAAAAAAAACCTATTAATTTTTATCCATGTGCTCCCTCATTAACTGATGAGTTTCTCTTGACACATGGTACTACCTACTTAATATGTCTGTCCCTCTGTTCAGCTGGCCTAGTGCCTAGTACTACTTCCTTTTTTTTCTTTCTGATTTTATTGAATTGTCTGTGTTCTCTTATATCTCATTCAGTTTCCTAAAGATCTTTATTTGAGGGCCGGCCCGGTGGCGCACTTGGTAGAGTGCGGTGCTTGGGAGTGTGGCGGCGCTCCCGCTGAGGGTTCGGATCCCATGTAGAGACCGGTCCGCTCACTGGTTGAGCGCGGTGCGGGCGCGACACCGAGGGTTGCGATCCCATTACCGGTCATGAAAAAAAAGAGACAAAAAGGGGGAAAAAAAAAAAAGATCTTTATTTGAAAAAAATTTTTTTAAATTAATATTAATTTCTTACATTCTTTGATGTTGTTGCGGAGCAGGTGGGAGGGAGGGGGAGAGGGAAAAGGGGAAGGAAATGTGAAGAAGAAGGAAGGAGGAGGGGCAGGATTGAGGCCTGTGGCACCCCCTCATTCCCACAGCTGACACTGGGGGGCTTTCAGTGGGGGCTTGGTCATTGCCAGGCTGGGTGCAGATGTCAGAGAGCGTGTTGCAAAAGCCCTCACTCCCCACCATCCCAGCTCAGGAACCTGGGGACCTTCTTGCTGCGGTTTGGCGGTCGTTGCTGG